GACAGCAGAGGACCTGAAGCAGGAATAGAGGAGAGGACAGCAGTGGACCTGAAGCAGGAATAGAGGAGAAGACAGCAGTGGACCTGAAGCAGGAATAGAGGAGAAGACAGGAGGAGTCCTGAAGTATGAATACAGGAGACGATAGCAGGAGTCCTGAAGCAGGCTTGGCCAGTGTTGGTCCCACAGAATCACAATCTAGGTTTTATAGGTCACCTTAGACATTAGTTTCAATTGCCTCATAACTAGTGCACATTTTGGGATCAATTAAGCAATTTAACCAATGAGATAAGGAATGGGCAGCCCTGATCCAGCAGTAAGTATGTATTCTTTCTGAATTACCTCTAAATTACAGTAATTAAATTGACATTGAACATGCTTATACAGTAAATTGTTTCCAAAAACTACTAACAATATAGTTAGGGCATTCAAGGACCAGACCTAGCCACCTGTAGTGCAATATTTGTCAACTGCAGTTCTTGGCTGTCGTGGTGTACCCTGTTGCTTGCCAGGATAGGCTCCAGCTGCCCCAAGACCCTGAATTAGAGAAAGCAGTTCAATGATGGGTGAATGGGATTCCAGCTCCCATGTGTTTCACATACAGCAGGGTCAGTGAATAAGACCAGACCTACTAAAACAGCAGCAGAAAGCCCATCTTCAGCTGTGACTCCAGACTGTATTTGACCTATAAAGGTCAGGGATCAGTCAAGGAGGCACATCACACTCAAATTCACTCTTTCTGAAGAACCATCTCAACACACTGTACAAATTAACAATGAAATAACATTGGAAACCTGAACTCCTTTGAAAGAATACTGAAATACTAATAAAACAGAATTAAAATCTTGTCAAAAGGATTAGTATTCATTCGTGATTTAAAAGTGCTGCCTTGCAAGATTGAATAGAGGCCAGTTGATCATCCACAACCTTGAAGCAACTTTAAACTTTTTAAAATGTCTTAGATTATACTCATACCCATTTCTGATCTCATAAAGCATTTTAAGAAACAGAGATGGTATTTTGTTATATAAATAAATGAATGTTATATGAATGGATCCGTTGAATGTTAAGAGCCATGTGGCAAGGACTTCAAACTTTGAACTGGTATTTTACTGCCACCTGCTGGCTAACAGAGCAACTGAGTTTGAACAGCGATTGCTTTGGGGCTCCTTGCAGACAACCTTCTTGGTCTTTTTTCAAACCCCTTAATAAGGAATTTGCTGACAATGCATCACTGATTAGAAATAAGCAGAACAGACATTGTGAAACTTTTAATTCCATACCTTGTAAAAAAAACAAACCCAAAAGGCTGCATAAATATAGGGAAATCCAAAAACTTTTCCATTTAAAGACATTATACATTATAGGAACTATTGTCCTGACAAAAGTAGAATCTTGCTTAACTTAACAATTCAAACATAGGCCCCATTTCCACATACAACAATGACAATGCAGGTGCTACTACATGAGGACACAAGGCTGATGAGATATTGCCAGTGATGCTCTGTCAAATAAATATGTTTAACAATTCAGTTTACATTCAGTTTGCATTGAGGCGTAGTGCATTGCTATTGTCTTTGCTTGGAAACTAGGCAGGAAAAAAGCTCTGAAAGGACAAGACTCTTGCAGTGGAAGTCAGGTGTTTACTTACATCTATGCAGTTCAGAGACAGATATTGAAGGTATTAGTGGGGTCAAAAAAGGCAGATGACCATTGTGTGCTTAACAAAAAAAAGTCAAACATTGCAGTGAATACATTCAAAAAACGAAGTCAATATACTTCCCTCAACAGGGGCTGTGTTTGAGTTCTCTTTAGGAAAATAACCTTCGTTCCTGATGTGGGGGAATGAATGCCACCCTCCCCCCACCTCTTTGCAGATTCCAAGAATTTGAGACACATAGGATGTAACTATTACAGAACATAAAAATAAGTACTAACTCTCATTTATCAAAAGTATTATCTAGATAGAACCTCTCCATCCACTACTTAGGACACACCAAAACATTTAGAAAAACTTTAAAAAACATTTCTAACTTTTCAAGGTAGAAGAGTTTAAAGATTTCTGGTATAGCCAAATATACACACATAAATAAAAAATATGCAGTAAATAACAGCAGCATGGCTTAAAGTGTGCTACAACTCTCGTCACACTTTGGGGCTAAAATAAAGCTTTTTTTTAAAAAAAATGGAACAATTTAAAGATTCAAAGTGCAGTGGTTCAAAATGTACACAAAAGCAGCCCATAGTCCTTGTACCAACTGGGACTCATTCTAAAAAAAGGGACATAAAACAGAAGAGGCGCTCAAACAGATCTGTGCTGCACGGAGAGAAAACAAGACTTTGTCCGATACCCCTGCAGTGAGGAAGCTATCCTGCACAAAGCTTGGCATTCATACTATTGATATAGGAATGCAATGTCAGTGTAATATAATGTCAATTTAGCGACCTTTGATGTGTTAAATTTCCTCAATCCTATTATTTGATCATAATATTAAGGCTTTAAAACTCTTTCCAATGTATTTCATAGGACTGTTATCCTTTAAATTAATATTATGCCCACACTATAAAAGATTCACAGCTTATTGGAAAATACAGACTAGTTTTCTGCTCTAGACAAAAAGTAAAAACCTTAATCGATGTACTTGTTAGGAATCTGACGTTGTGTGTTCCTCCCATCAGGGAGCTTTCCTGGTACCTCTGTTGAGAACAACACAGACCAGGTGCTTCTCACGCACACTACAAACACCTAAAGGCTAGTTACACATCTTGATTTTCTCACCAGGCCTCTAAAGCATCAATTCAGCTTTCAAGAAACAGCGTTCAGAGAGAACTCCAACATCCTGAAAGTAACAGTTCAGTGCTCTAAGACACATTTATATCCATGGATATTCACAATCTCAAAGACTACAATGTTGGTTGCATTTAGCATAGACTATAAGACAAAAATAAATGAAAATATATAAAAAACAGAAAGAGTCAACTATAAAGAGTTCAATATTTTCGGCTTACAAAATAAATGCTTATGATAACTGAATGCTAGTTTAACTAGTATTAGCTCTAGATATTGCCTAGTCTTGTTAACTCTTGAACGTGTCTGGTGGGTCTTGAATAATTACTATCTACACTATGTTGGCATCACTACACTGCAGGGGAGGCCAGCAAAGTGAAATAAATCAACACAAATTAAGTTAAACTAAAAGCTTACAAAAATAAGTGGCTGTGACACTTAGAAGATCAGAGAGGCAGGAGAGCAGTCCTGACTATTCATTGTTAATTTATAAATCTATTGCATTGGTCCATAATATGGGAAAGATAAATGTGCAATTTTCCCTGTTTTACATATACAATATATTATGATGAAAGTTCATGACAGCATAAAAAAGTAAATGTGCATGTTTCTCAGTAGCTATCCAGCTGGCAATCAGATGGGACTGAACAAGCAGATTTTCAGGAATGAGGCAAGCACCTGGTTCACCAAAAAGTAGAACCAAATACATCCCTGGCTATAAGTTAAAATTTTGAATATTGTCATAGCTCTGTATAGTGCTGTATATGTATAGGCTTTAGTTTTGACAATACATGTTCTAAAATTTGAGAGTAGAAAAAAACAATAGCTATTGAGCACTGCCGGATTTGGATTCTAATTTGAGTGATGTGTGGGACCTGTCCCAAGCAAACACCCAACTCGACACTGAGGCTGCTGGCACCACACAGATGCCTGAAGCCATGCAGTGCCTGTGCAGGACATTATGCCCTCAACACCTGAAAGTGAAGAGTAAATGAAGTTTACATGACAAAGGGTACAAAACACAGAGCTGCTAAGAAGACGGAATGGTGGTGAGAGTCCAACATGTGTTAAGGCACCAGTCTGTCAGAGCCCTTAAGTTTTTAAAACAAGTGTTCAACTGTGTCGCCCCTGTTCAGAAGGTAATTACTTAGAAGAAATGATCAAGTCCGCATGAGGGAAGAGACCTCTCGACCTCCACAGGGCTTGCACCAGCTTCCTCCAGTCCCATCTGCGGTGAGTCTTCTGTGGTGAGCAGCTCTTTCTGCTCTTCCTCTTCCTCGATACTGTGTGGCACGGCATCCTCTGGTGGAGGCTCCCAGTAGTCATACAGCTTGCCCTAGAGCAGGCACAGGAACTGAGTGACAGCAGCAAGACACATCCTTTTCTTTCCCATACGTTTTCAACCCCCCCTCATTTCATAAAAAAATATCTTCCGCAGGTGTCAGTTGCTCGAGGTTTTATATTTTTGCCCAAGGAGCAATACTATCACCATATATCGACTGTAGTTGGCTCTCGCCTCCTGTTTCACACTGACCTTTTTTACACACTTAACACTGAAAATTCAGATGCATTTCCATCGCAGAAGTGCCAACTCAAAATTGACTGTGTGCGGAGCTACAGTAACAGCGCATCCAATTTCTCTTTGTGAGTCTCCTCTCAGCAGATTGTTGTATTACTAAAGAGAAAGATTCGACTCCTACATGGAGAACTAGATCTGAGGATGGACCTATTGTCAGCAGTAAAACAACAGGTGAAATTAAGAACCAAGTCAGGGAGTTTCTACAGCACCAAAGAGTGACAATGTCAACCAATTCCTGGAAGATCACAGGATCGCCTTGCATTCTCTCCATCCAGCCACTACTTTAGCTGGTTTAATTATAGGGCTCTGTATAACATCTGTACTTTGAGTTAAATAACACTCTGAAAATCAGCTTTTAAAAACCCTGAATATACAATGACTTTGTCATGTACAAAAAAAATGTCAGTTAAGATGTCCAAGGATGAGCATCAGAAGAGCCTGTGTTCAGGACCTGAGCACAACACCTAGAAGAACAGTTTAACTCAGTTCCTATAGTGGCAGGATTCCTGTTGTCCAGTCGGAGGATGATCTAGAGAGCCCTGCTACACAGAATGAGAGCTCCCTCCAGTTATACACAGCGCAAACATCCACATCACTCTCAACACTTCATAGTCTGTGGTATAAAAGGTCAGGCTTGTGCATGAGCATCCATGGTCCAAGTCCAAGTCCACGCTTTAACTGTGTCTGTTTAATTGTCTCCTTGGTATTTATCACATATATATGAGGTCTTCAGGAAAAGACAGACCATTTTATCAGGCTCACACAGCAGTTCTGACAAGTGTGGAGTGGGTGCTGTTGGAACAGCAAATGCCAAGAGATTTTATAAACAACCTAGGCAAACCAGTCATGTGGTTAGTCACGGTCTCTATATTCTATACTCTTTTTCTTTTGGGGAATCTTAAACAGCGAGTGCCCAGAACAGCCCAAGGACAACTGAAGACTGGAATAGTCACAAGGGGCACTGTACAACAGCCTTCAGCTGCAGCAACTTCAAAACAAGGACTGGCAAATTGTCCCCAACCTCTCAGAGTGGGTGGTGCACATTGAAAAATATTAATATGGAAAAAAAAATCCCAAAAATGTTTCCCAGTCTTCTACACATTAAAACTTAAAGAAAAATGCGAGATATTGCTAACAAGTTGTATGAGCAAAAGAAAACACATGGTCCTTTCCTGAAGAACCGAATGCCCTGTATTATATGTGAGCTGATTTTAATATGGCAGTATGCTGGAAGCTCTCTACCACAACACTTTTCAGAGCACAAAATGTATGTAGAAACCAGGCATTTGAGCAACTGCACTGAACATTGAAATCCCAATATGGAGTAGTCAGAAGTCAATACCTGCTGAGGTCTGGATTTCTGAAGGAGAACTTGCCACCTTGTGTAGATCCGAGCAACAAAGTCCTTTACCTGCAAGAGAAGACATTTCCGACATGAACATTACTACCTTACGTGACCTTACCGCTGCTCAACCTGCAACAAGAAGGGCAGCACTCCCATCCACACCTGTCCACAGACCCTCCAGGACAACACATGGCACAGCTTTGATATCCCCAAAGACAGCGACCTTAACACACTAAACACACTTCAAAGCTAAAAAATCACAGACATTGTACCAACCTTGCTCCTGTACAGGAGCTTATCACTCTCCCTGATATCACACTTGATGTGTTTGTCCAGTTCAGCGGACAGGATCCGCAGCTGATCCTGAAAGGCAAGAATTGAAATATTATTATACCTTAAACCAACACCCATTTGTGTTGACAGAAATTGTCTTACCATTCCAGTCATTACGAGAGGATGAGCCAGTTAAAATAATGTGTTGAAAAATCACTCTTTCAACATTTGACAAAATCTGGATTAAATTAATAAACGGTACATAAAAAAAGATTATATTTTAAAGGACCCTCTCTGTCAGGTGCACTTACTTTTTTCAAGTCCTCCCCTGCAGAAACTTTCCTTCAGTGCTCAATTTCACTAAAATTACTTAAATCTACCAAATGGAAACAGTTGATGGAGGATTACATTAAAATGTGAATGATTCTAAAACTGGTTGACTTTTATTAGGAAAATAAATTTCTTAGTAGACTACAGATCAAAGTAAATCAAACCTTCAACCACCAAGACACTCACCCTCTGTTCAGGAGGAATGGAATCATAATTAGACACTTCATTTGTTAAGGCCAGCAGGCTGCTGCAGAGGTAATAGGCCTAGAAGCAGCAAACACAAAGTTAGCACTTGGCAGTACACTCTTTAGCTACTGATATAAGCAATCCAGAAAGAATTAAAAACCTGTCACTAGAAAATTAGAACTCTACAACGTAACGTTTGTTTTTTTCCACAAAACACTGCCATGTAAACGGATTCTTATGTGTCATCAAAACAAAACTGTGCATACTTTCCACTTCTTGAAGACTATAGTCTACTGTATACTGCACTCAAAAGGATACTAAGAGGCTGATAATTTTTGTACCCTTTTCCAGATCTATGCTTTACAATCACAACTTACTTTGAAACCTCTTTACTATTTATGATTCAGTCGTTATTGAAATTCACTGACCACGAAACTTCACAGACATCTTCAAATGTATTTATTCTGAAACCATGTAAACCTCTATTATTGCA